GATCATTACGTTTTTTTATTTTATTCTTGATTATAGACTTCATTCAATTATATTGGATGATTTTAGAAAATAAAACTTTAATAATATTCTTGATTAAACTGGGGACGTTTTATAATATTAATATTTTAAATATTATTTTATTTTGAAGTATGTCTTACGCTGAAGAACGCGACGAAGCCGTTAAACGGTTTTTGTTTTTTCGTAAGTCACAAGCATTTTCATAATTTTCGATTTTGGATACGAATCAAAAAAAAAAAAAAACTTACGCCGTCTACCTAAAACGTCTTAAAAAAAAAATGGAATATGATTAACGATCAGTGTTACTGCAAATACTTATACCGTCTTTAGTGCATAGGTAGTTTGTAGCCTGAGTTATTTTCCACTCACATCGGTCGCAGACTTGCTGATATTTATCTGCATTTTTTTTATCCAACCCGCACTATAAGTTTTCCATCGTTATGTTTTTGTTTTCTGTTAATATTATTTCCGTCAGTTGTTTTATAAGGTTTACCAACATCTCCCGCAGGTTCAGCCAAGTATACATAAGTGATTTATTCGTTTTTTTTAGTCTAATCTAGCCGGGATAACTGTAAAAGTACTACGGGAGTGCAACAAATACACACTCCCAACCTACATATTCATATTATCTTTTTTCGTTCGCCTTTTGGATTTACCGGGATCAATGTTTTTTCTCCTTCTTCCTTTTAAAAACCGCCCTGTACACACACACAGTAGCAGCTATGGGTATCTGGAATTTCTCGTTATTGTTGTTTACAGTACCTACCCGCCACCGCTGACTATTCGTGCCCTTTTAATTTATTTCCTGTTCGGTCACGTTTGCCCTCTTTCGCTGTTATCTCTTTACAACCCGTGTGTCCGAGGAGGGTAGCTAATTTTAGTAATACTTCCGATAGTGTTATTCGTCAAACTGAAATTGTAATAATTTCTTATTTAAACGAGCCGGTAGCACACAAGTTTGCACCTAAATGTATTTTAGATCCGGTGTGGCGCTGAGAAGGTGTTAATTTTATACAACGATGTGTTTTTCGTCTAGTTCTGTGTAGTAATTTGTTGGATTAGAAATCGTACACACATTTTGGTGTAACAATTGTTAGTTTTTGTTACTTGCTTAGTTTATTTTTATGATATCATATTTTTAAGTGTCGAGATTGTCATAATATTATATAAACTGTAATAATATATAACGCGTGCGCAGTTGAAAAATGCGTAAAGTTAACGGTGGTCTCGTTTTACGGTACACTTGATCGCGTCCGGTCTTTCAGCCGCAAACTGTAATATCGGTTGACAATAAACTCCCTTCAGCCACCCATTTCACGTTCGCAAGGCCTAATAAAATTCGGACAAAGCTATCAATGGAATCATCCAACCGTAGAAATCAATCCGCAAATCATAAGCTCAGTCCCGGGACAAGCAGCTGCCGCCGCTTCATAAAACAACATATTATTATGGGAACCCTAAGCCCTGATGCCACAGAAAAAGTTTTTATAATTTTTTTTTTATCTTTTACCACTACCGACCCGATCCCGATTCATATCTCCTGGCCATCACTTTTCCCTTTGATCTTATTTCCACACCGGTGTTTTGTTTTCTACCCAAGACTGAGTCCAGTTTAAAACACATGCACTTTCATCTCGTTTCTTGTCTCAAACACATTTCTTCGCCGAATTTGTCGACAAAAAACAACATACAAATGACACGTTTATTCTACCTATTTTGTGCACACCAAAAATCTGTCAACTTTGAGTGTGCACAACAAGTTTTGTTAGCTGATGTTGTTTGACAGCCGTGTACTAACACTAGTATCTAGCGCTTTCAAATAAGCTATAGTCTGCATAAATAACTTCAAATTAAATATCGCCTTGAGATAAAATTGAGATTTAAAAATTGTTTTGTTGCATCAACAGCATTGTTAAGCAGAATAATAATAGTATTTCTATTATGTCCAAGCAGATGCTACTGGAGTAAACTAAATGTTTTGTACTTTGTATTACCTAGAAATGTCCATAATTCGATAACGTTGCCTGTTCGTTAACTGCTGTTCGCCGTAGAGTCCAACTTAAACAGTTGTCCGAAACTTTTATAGTTACGAACGCATTGTCTAATGATTTTAACCTTTTTTACTAACAAACTTCTGAACTTCTGTGTCGACAAACGATTACAAACGTCCAAAACAAATTTTGACCGTCCGAACGAAACATATATTATACTTTTTAAATTGAACTGGTTTCATAGAAAAAAAATCAAAAAGACTTAACATCTCAAAGCGTTAGGATTGCATATGCAGTGAACACGCAACTCTGGAGACAGTTTCTATATGCACATTAACACCAACAAAAACTACATCTACATTGTTGAAAATACTGCTAATTAGTGTACCAACAAAATTAAAAAATAACCATAAAACAATTAACAGCGTGTCCGCCGAACATATTATAGCCGTTTAAGTATCCGCTGCTAGATTTCCTAATTCAGATGTTTAAATTCTGTTTTTTTTTTATTCTAAATACAATTCATTAGCTTATAAAATACAAGTACATTATTTTTTAACACATAGTACGTTTTTAGAAATTATATTATATTAGTGATAGACTAGTTTCACTAGTCATAAAGTAATATAGATTTTTAAATCCAATCAATTTGCGTTTTTGGTATAAAAATGCATAGATGAAAAGTGATGTACGCGTAAGTAGTGCGTATAATGATAAAAATAACATGCCAGACATTTAATTATTATACTTTTAAACGTTAAGAAATCAAGAAGTATTCATGCGAAATTGGTTATTGACAAGTCATTATACTTCCATTTTATCGTTTTGATTTCAAATTATAAACCAAAAGTATGATTTGATAAGTTAAAACAATTTCTTTAAAGATGAAGTAATTAAATAGATTACTATATCATTAATAATACTATTTGTGATGTGTATGTCTAAGATTTTTTTTACTAGCTAATATAATCAGTTTTTAAAATCGTTCAAAATTCTGAGGCACTTTTAGTCCCCCCTCAGACACCGAGAACCCGGACGTTTTTGTACCTAAGTGTCATAATAGCCACTTTGCTGTTTTGAGTATGGCTCTACTTGCACTTTCGTTGGCGCTAATAACCGGACGTGAGCGTTAGAAAATGTGTGCATAACGTTCTGGAGAGCAAAACACAAAATGACACGATACGTACATAAACTGTAATATTAGCCATACCTACTACTGCGAGACAACGATTTTCATTGTTTGGCATTTTTGTCTTGAACGCTCCCTCTATATTTATCTAAGTACTTAACAGTAAACAAATGTCACCTGTCCATACGAAACAAACAAACGGTATCCATAACTTGTAATAGAAGTCGGCGTCAATATGAAACCTTTCTTCGTGATCTGTTCGGCTAAATTGAATATTGTAAATTTGACAAACATTACCCGTGGGATGTAGCCGAAAACTTTTTACGAGTTACACGGTAACCAACATTGTTAGTTGGGTAGAAAACACATCAATTGACTAGCTAAAAGGAAAATGCGGTAAAACGGTTAATGTTTTAATTAAATATCATTTTTGACTGATTGTGAGTTAGTTTTTATCACACCTGAATAACTGTAGACAGAATATAAAACACCTCAAATAGTCAAAGCTAACAGTTATACTTTATATCAATGCTGATTAGTAAATGTGTACAAATACAGTCTACAATGAAATAATTAACGCAACAAGTCTCGTTTTAATACACACAGTTCAGTACTATAATGTACTGTATTTATGTATACATATAAAGTACATACATATATTACTGATTTGAACCTCAAACTGAAATATTGTACAGTTTATAGTTAAACGTTAAATGGTTTTGAAATTTGTCAACTTCAATTGCAGAAACATCCTGCAGAAGCAAAAGTTACATCACATAACTGGTTTATGCATATTATATGACTGAGGGTATATCAAATTTACTTGGTTTATGTTGTTATAACTCGTTTGATGTTCCAAAATAGTTTAATGTAATAGTTTCATTCGCGTTGAAAACCTTTGATAGATCAAACATTTTATTCCTGAGGATCTGTCCATAATCTGTTTACAATAAATACACAGAATATTATAATAAGCACACTTGACTGATCGATAACTAGTTTAGAATAATTATATTTAAACTTAATATAATTTTAAATTTAAGACGGGTGACGTTGTTCGGTTGAGTTCAAGAGAAATAAAATAATACCACCTTTCTTCCCGCTCTAAATTTTAAACCACTCAACATTTTTAGTAATTTATTTTTTATTTAAAATAATAATAAAATATACCCGTTACCATTGAAGTTTAAAAAGTTGATAAAACGCAAGAATTTACCAAAATAGATAAAAAAAAAAAATTGATATTCTTCAACAATGTAAAACAAAAAAATGACTCCAAAAAGAAAACTGTAGTTATTTTCACAGAAAATAAGTTTCTTACGGTAAATGGATCGTCCATATATGTATGCAGAGGGGAAAAAAATAAAAGTAATGTGCTCAGATCGCGACATGTCCTTTCACGGTGTACGTTTACGGTGTCTTTTGTTTTTACTTTATTTACTCTAATAATACATTCAAACAACGCAAATGGACTTTGTAAGTAATCCGAGACGTTTACATGACAGTGATAAACCCCCAATCACTCCAGGCGCTCGTAAACAGTAGTAAAGATAAAAAAAATAGTTACCGAAAGCGATATAACTCGATGACAGAATATAAGTGTCTAAAAATTAAATTTTAAAAAAATGCAAGTCCTAATGTATTTATACAAAACAGTATTGGCACCATTAGCTGACGGCCGGACAGTATCTATTTATCCGATTTTTCCATTTCAGGTTTCCCTGAGAAAACTTAAAAAGATTTACTTCACCTTTAGAGCAAAAACAACTAGTTGCCTATTCGATATCAGCAATATATATGAATGTATAAATAAATATTAAACTAGAAAGTAATTAATCTTATATTTTTATTTATTCATTTAGTTCCACCAAGGATCGTTGGAGTAACTTCTAATGGAAAAGTTTGTGTGAAAAGTGGAATGTCCGTGACTCTGGAATGCAACGCTACAGGAAACCCAAAACCAACAATCACTTGGATTCGAAAAGTGAGTTTGATTTTTTTTGAGTTAAATTACTTTTAATTCGAGTGTAGACTTATAATGCGTTATATATCTATATCTTATACAGCATGACTTAAATAATACAATAATCTAGTCAAAATTTAAAAAAAAAAATGAATGAAAAATCATGATTTGACTTTTGAACTTTGACATCACGAATAAAGTATTTCAAATGTGATTTTTATCAAAAGAGTTGCGGATCAACGTCTATAGACGATGGAACTAATAGGAAATATTCAAAACCAAAACTCTGACAAGTTCAATTATTACTTGAAAACAAGAACCTTCCTTGACGTTTATTTCATGTTTAAGTTTAGAGTTAAATTTAATTGGGCCCAGCAGGACTCCCTAGAGTTCTAAGAGAGCCGCCAATGCAATTAAATTACTTTACAACATTGTAAATTGTTTAATTTAGTTTTTATTTATTTTTAGCATAGAAATTGCATATATTTAGCATATATTTGTTTGTAAAATGATGCTTTCTAATTAATTGTAAAATATAGCGTTAGTGTAAAGACGGCTTCGAATTGGAATAGTAAATTATATAAAGAAACATTATTAGTAGTAAAACGTTGGTTTAAAAAACTATGTAGGTTTCACTTTACTTACTATTTCGTAACTGTAAATAACTTTTGGGTGGTACTATTGATCATGGTATACTCGTAGGTATGCCATTACATTTTTCGACCCAGTTCATATTGGACATAAAGTTATTGTAATGTATTAATGGTACGGCTATTAAATTAATATATTATATGTATTTCAGTTTTAAGCCAATAAAATAATTTACCAGTATCCTGTATACCGTCAGACAATTATAATTAGTATTATTGCAATTCTTGCATTATTTATTAGAACCACAATCATTATTTTACATATTGTCAAGAGCCTCACTAAATTAAACTACCAGTACAACAATATTACTAATATTTTGTTCGTTTATTTAAGCTCATCCCGGCGCGTTTATACAAATCTGTGGCAATTAATTACTATATATTTAATATCACTAACGAAACGGCAGCATGTCGACCTAAAGTACTTTATGGGAACTCGTTAATATATTTTGTTAGGTGTATTTTGAAACTGCTGTAAATATTATTGAAAACGTCAAAATAACGTTATTAATTAAACTGACGTGATCAATATTAATATTTTTAACCCTCAAATTTTGTTCCCCAGAGACAGAGGGACCTAAATCCGTTTACATCAAAATTTAAGCTTATGGACGTTTTTTAAGTAACGTCATAATGTGATCGTTTTTACCATATGCTGGTTTATGTACCGAACTGTCTTAAAACTATGCAAACATAACCTTGTCTAAATTTTCATTTGTATCATTAACTTATGTTCAAAATATTTGCAGTTACTATTATGATAACAAAAGGTATAATTAAAAAAAAAGATTTTCAGTTTAATGAAATAGAACTACGGATAGAAAAATAGCTGTTTTGCTTTGGTAAAAAGTTACAATAGACTTAGACCTATTTACCTTTAAAATACACATCTTTTTTCAAACACTGTGATTGTAAAATTCTCATTAATTATAATGTAACTATGATTTTTTTAAAATTTAATAATTTTTTTTTTTTTAATTAATATTACTTTCCTTATTAAATAATTAAATAACCCTTTGTTCGTGTGTAAAGAATTACACTCAAAGGAAATGAACTAGGGATTAGTGGAAGTAAAACAGAATATATAGAGTATGATTTTGAAGGAAGAGGTCAATAGGTTGACAGGACAAGAGAAGTAACGACATTGAGTAGTGACGTAGTAGGTGAGGTTAGTAAGTGAAAGTTTAGGATTTTTTGACAATAGAATGGCGGCATTGATAAAAATGTGAAACATAGGTTTAAGTGTGGTTGGATCAAGTGGAGAGAAGCGTCAGGTGTTTTATGTGACAAGAGGACAGCAATGAGACTGACTTTGTTGTATAGTTTGGAGTGTTGGACAATACACCAGAAAATAGAACAGAGACTAAATGTAGTGGAGATGAGAATGCTTTGGAGTTAGGTGGAAAAATGGAGTTACGAGAGAAGATAGAATATTAGAATCGAAGGTAAAAAAGAATACTGCTCTTTAAATTTGATAAATGTATTTTATTGATTTTACATTATATTTAATTTTAGTTTAGATTTTGAATTATATTTAGTTCAGTGTCTATTCCAAGGAATTTCGAGGTCGAATCAAACTCCGAGATAATAAGTATTGAGGTCGAAAATTTAGGTACTTTAATAATAAATAGTTTAGAGTATAATAATGTTTAAAACGTTGGCTATGTCGTAGTTTTTGAACTTCGAGCAAACTTTTAGAAATCATTTATATTATGTTATCAGTTTGGAATGGCATTGACGAGGTTTGGCAGAATGTATCCAAATAATATCGACCAAATTCTCGGTACACATTCCTCTAGTAAATGACATGTCCTATATATCTTACATTCAAAACAAAAATATCGTTTAACGTCGTCAAGAACTACTTGTCGCGCTTACACGCGTTTTGAATAAGTAAAATATATGTGTGTTTTTATGAAAACAAAAACGTAGACGGTACTTGCTATTTACATATTCATATGGCTTATTTGTTGTCGACAGAAGGATACCAACACCATGTAGAATAGACCCATGTCTGTATAGAAAAGCTGTTTACTGACACAAGTACCTACACGTGATTTGATATTTCGAAAATTCTTGTTGCCCAAAAACATTTTTATACACTTCGTCGAGTAAATAGTATGATAGTATAACTTGTCCGAGAGCTACTATATTTTAGTGACGCACTTAGATATTGATTAAGACTACATAGTTAAAACTTAGACGGTTTGAAACTAATGCCTCGTTGATTTAAAAAGAAAATTAACTAATATTCATAAATAAAAGACAACGTCTCATTTTAGTTATTTTTTGATCTCCACGCTCCCTTAATATGCACTTTTTTATGACATATTCCTCCCCTATACCTTGCCATGCTATGTTTTTTATTTTATTTTCATATTACACGAACACAATACACGCTGATCGTCGAGGCCAAGACTTTTAGATTAAAAATAATTTATGAGTAGGTATTATAGCATAGGACCAACGCCGGCGATAATAATAGTTCAACCGTCGACATTTCTTTTAAATTCTAAGTGCTCCACCGGCGTCTTTCTCCGGAGCGGCGCACTTATCTTTGATATATACCCGATAATCGCTTGGCATAAGGGGAAATCCTTTGTAATATTATACATAATAATAATACGTACGCTAAAACTTTGGGATTGAGCGGCGGAGGGGATATATTGTTAGAAGGGGATATATGTCCGAATGCACATAATATGCAGAATCTACAGGCAATATAAGTCAAACAGTAATAATATAATATCCCGTTGCTGGCCATCCCCTGCCTATGTTACCTCTTGGCTGTTATAATAGAAACCGTTCTGGCGATGGAGGGGCGGCTACGAAATGGGTAATAATACATCCCTAACGCCGGTATGTCTGGGGGGGGTGGGGGTGGGTAGGACAATGCGGCGTATATTCTCCTGCCCTCAAGTCGGATGAATTTTATGTGTTTTTCTCGCTTGCTCGTTTCTCTGCACACAGTGGATATGAATAGGACTTTAAATTATGTACATCAGATGCTGGCCAGAATTTAAAACAGGACCATCTCTGCGCCGGGCCCATAAACAATCGTATGCGGAGCGCAGGGAGTACGAACAGGTCAAACCGAATAATTGTTACCTGCCACTCTTTTCCGTGGCCGCAATTGTACCAACAAAAAATAAAATATATTCTACGACCAACGTGTTTTTTCAATTTATTCAACACTTTTATACCGTGTTCACGGGGGGCGCCTAAGTACACAAAAGTCTCTAACACACGCGATTGAAACAGTATAATGCATATAATATACACATGTCTTGAAAACTAGACCATACATAATATAAACAAAAGCTTTCATAAAACAAGATATAAACACGGTGAACATAATAATAATGATCACTAGATGTATGGTTCAACCTTGGCTCATGGTGAACACTAACGTTTAATGTAATGCTAAAGTTTTCGTAATGCCGCGAGTTCAATGTATTTCTGATGTTGTATATTTTATTGATCCTATGTGTTTCTCATGTTCTGTTTCAGAATGACATGCTTCCATGTGGAAAAGACTCAGCTACCGGAAGTACATACACTGTAAACAATGTCCGCAGAACACACGATGGAGTTTACATATGTTCGGCGTCTAATAACATCGGCGAACCCGTAACAGAACAAATAGACCTAAAAGTAATGTGTAAGTATACCAACGTTTTTCTATGTCTTACCATTCAAGTACAGACTTATTAGCTCCTATCAGTTGTACCTAGCTAGTCGATCGCGGTTATTACATGCACTAACACACTTAGGTACATTTTTTACTATCTACTTAATAATTTTTCTTACGGTATATTCTTCATGGCAAAGTAAGATACCTATGTATAGTTTAGAAATGAAAGGGAAAAATTCTTTACTATTCAGTATTTATAATTATATTTAACGAGATCATTTTTAATTAATGACCATAATACTAGTCAGTAAGTTGATAGACACCTGAAAAAAAAATTTAGAATTGAATATTGTCCAATATTGTAAAATAAGATGAACTAAAGTATCTCCAAAAAAGAAAAACCACAACATTGAAATTATTTTAAGAGAAATTGAGTGTCGTTTCTTTAATGAATCACTCTGTATATAATATGTATATACCTCTGTATATATTATAATTTTACATCTATATCATTGGAATATAGGCTACGAATATTTTATTTTTTTAATTAAGTAAATATCTCGTTAGCTATTAGCTTAAAGAGTTGGTCCAATCACACACTGATAGCAAAATAATATATTAACAGAACTGATAATCGGCAGTTTTATTTTTTTTTCTCAATTACAAATATTCGAGATTAGATGATAAATTAAATATTAATTACTACAATAATTACATAATACATGTTGATAAAAGCCGATCGGTTAAGACCGAAAGGTTTACTCATATTAGCGACTTAGGTGAAAACGGAGGATATTTAAGTATAGGCTATGAGGAGTGATTGTTTTTTAATTTTAATCAAACTGGTGGAAGCAACTACAAAAATACACTATTTTGGAAGTGCTCATAAGATCGTTATTTGTTTATATTTTAAAGTCAGTTACCTAGGCTGATAAAATATGCAACGTAACCGACATTTGAACTCTCATCAAACAATGAATACCGTACTGGCGTGACAGTAGGATAAACAAAATAATTAAATTAAAACTGAATGCGCAATGACTTAACGGGAATAAAAATGACCCTCGTTTCGCTCCATGATTTTACTGTGGACATTTTTATTAAAATGTGTTTTTTTTAAACATGGATGTGCAAACACAATATGTATATTGTATGCATTCATATGTGTGGATTATTTTATATGAACCAGACATTTCTCAAGTGACCCCCCGCTCACATTTTATACAAGTAAAATACGTAAGGACTACAATGACGCACTTGAATAATAAAATATAGTATTTAGTATGACGTGTTCACCGCAAGGCTAGAGATAAATTTATAACAATTTGTAATGACTGTAACTGAATATGTTTAGCGTTAAAAGCTAAATCGCGTAAAATTCTATAATATCGCTTAATATATCTTTTAATAACTAAACTTAAATTAAACGCAAAATTCAATAGAAATCTGTAATACGTTAAAAGTTTTTTAATTAATGAATGTAATTATTACCATTGCTAATGTCGTTTTTATATTTTATTTTTACATCTTAACGATTCGAAAACGAATTGCAAAACAAATAAACGATTAAAATTGTTCAATTCAAACTTGATATACGTTGGATATTTTATTTTTAATTAATATTAATTATACCAAAGTATTCTAGTCTGAAAACTATGCATATTGTAATTATTGATAGACATAGCGTTACAAAACAAATATAAAAATGTATTCATTTATGCCAATAAAAAACAAATGCAAATTGAGTAAAAAAATATTCAAACCAACGGTTTAATGATAATTATGAATTGAGAATAACACTTCTTTAAAAAATTATACGTTTAAACAAAAAAATCGTTTTAAAGAAAAAGTTATTATAGTAACTAATACGATGTGTAATATACTACAATACGTCGACTTTGGTTCTCGTTTATAAAATTTAGGCTAAAGTATTATTTATTTGAGTTTTTTTTTAAAGTGTTTTTGAAACTTTTTTACACCGCCGTAAAATTTGAACTTTTATGAAACTATTTCCATAGTTATTTTTCTGCGCATACATCCGAAAAAGGAAAAATTATTGTTTGTCTTTGTAAGGAAGTAAAAGCATTATTTTTTAGCTGTACGTCCAAACGGATTTATTGGCGGGTACTTGTGGTGTAGCCATGCGCGACAACATCCGTGTTTGTTAAGCAAAAAAAAAATAATAATAATAACAGCAACGTGTTTTTTAGTAAAATGACGTGACATCCCCTTTCAAAAGAATTATTATCTTTTATTAAGATTTTGATATTTATTTTCTGACGTAATAGAAAATAAAAAGCAACTGCTTTGTTATTTCGGTACTGGGGAAAAATCGAAACGAACAATAAGACAGTTAGTAATTGGGAGTGAACTGGATATCGAGAAAACCGTACACTGGTAAAATCAATGACGTCAACACGAGTAGATTTAAAAAAAAACAAAAATAATGATAATAATACCAATAAAATCCGGTGGTTCGTTAAGGGTGGTAATATATTTGGTCACATCCTATGGGCTATTTGTTGTACAGTATCGTTTTCTTTAGCTCGCTAAAAAAAATAAAACAAGCATTTTTTTTTCTCTATTGAAATTCACCACTGCTGCGGCGTTTGTTAAGGACATACGTGGTCCGCAAATTGTGTTTGCACAGACGTTTCAAACCCTTCGTTACCAGTGTTGACGGCGACCAAAGAAGATTTTGTTATTCGATTGCGTTAGAGTGTATGTGTGTGTTGGGAAAATGTTTTCTGAACAATTGATAACATGACGTTGAAATGGAGAGGTGGGCACCCATATGTCCCGTTAGTGAGTAAGTAAAGTTTTTGTTTGTCGAAGATTCTCTGTGCATCTCGTTCGGTGTACATCAATATGAAATACAAATAAAACGACAACACGCTCAAGGTACCTGCGTTGTCCGCCCTCACCCGTCGTCAATCGTTTACTTCCGGGAAGTAAGAAAGGGACGGCATATTATCTGATTAGGTGTTTTGGATCCGGCTGCAAGTGACACACGACGTCGGCGTAGGTATATACATAGTTTTGTGCCGGTCCTGGAAACTCGTATGTTTGCTTATACTTACACTCAAACGAACGCACCCTCGAGAAAACCAACGTTTCCTCTGAAAACTGTCAAGCTACCCGGCGTGTGTGTGTACATTGTGTCTGCGATGTCGAATTACTTCCGGCCAGCGCATTAGTGATGCCATTCTACAATAGACCTCGAGCCCCGCGATTATTGGCAACTGCTCTTTGAAGCCGACCTACCGCGCTTAAGTAAATTCGGCGGTCCATTAAAGTCAAAGTGCCTCCAGGGTTCGTAGTACCTTTCATACCTTGTCAGATCCCAGATGCCGAACCGTTTCGCCGAACGTGGGAAACTGCGCACACGATAATATTGTTTTGAATAGAATATAATACATATTTAATCTGAAATATTTACATAATATAGTCTTTGCCATCGTTTCGAAAGTCTTTTATCTTCCATCTTCAGAACTGTGTTGCGTAGTGGTCACGATGTGTTCCACCCACTATTAATTTTTTGTTACCACCGTTTTGTTTGTCATTCACTGAGACTATGATCGTTTCAGTCTACAGGTAGCAGCAGAACGAACAACATCATAACCTGCATGTAACACAGCCCTGAAGATTGCAGATGAAGGGCTTCCGAAACGTCAGCAAAGCCAGTGTGTAAAAATATAGGTGCATCTGAAAACCTTGTAAATGTTTTAACGATTAGGCTTTTGTCGTACCGCAAGACTGTAAGCAAGCGAGGTCTTATTTCTCCAAAGCTGTTATCATTAACCATATTGTTAATTAAAAGCAAATAACGTAACATACTGAATTTAAGTCGGATTGAAAATAAAAATAACAAATATTTGTAGTAGATTTTAATATTTAAAAACAAACTAGATGACAATATCTTTTTAAAAGACGACTATTTATTAAAGAAGAGAGTATAAGCAATCTTATGAAAAATATTAATTTAGAACTTGAACTATAGTGTACATTTTTATTAATACAGAAATGAGGATTTTATGGTAATTACTTTTTTTATTTGACTATCACGGCCATTTCTATACAAGAAATTTAATTTTTTCCCCATAATACCTCTGTTTAAATATAAAGTATTGTGAATTACTTAAAATATGTATACCAAAAAGAATTAGTTAAAGTTATCTTTCAAACGCTGTATTATTATTTGCGTCTCTACCATTATTATCGACTTTGTAGTATGTCTATTGTGACCTCATATTAACCCTTTACCGAGAACTTGTAACTCTCAGTGAAACGACTTGTTGCAACATAAATGTTTTCTTCTGTCGTTTAGCGTAATAACTAGTTAGTTTAATATAACAGTACATATTATAATATTAAAACGTGCAGTTTTATGAAAACTGAAAAGTTTCATCTTAAAAATGTTCTGTCTCACTTTTTTTCCATAGGCCAATAACACAATGTTGGGCAAAATACCCATTCTTACTGAAGTCACCATATCAGTCTACCATCAGTACAATAATAATAATTGTAAATCTTCTCAGACAATCATTCTAGTGTTAAAAACAACTTTGCTATACACATTTCGCTCATGTTTTCCGGCTTAGTAATTTTACATAGCATCTAAATAACACTTCAAACCGATGACTATCTTCCAACTCTATTATTAAAGCTGATCAAAAGGCAGACACGAACTAGGGGTTAATAATCTCCAGTAGTTTTGTTCTCTTTACTTGCAAATTCAACATGTTATCCGTTTTCAAAGAGTGGTAATGCTCGTTGAATATTTTATGACCTCAAATAATATATTACACAAATCTTTGTTCATTGTAAATATCTAATAATATTACTATTAAGTTAAATACAAATTTATGACCACCCAACGATATGGGAAATATTTTAAGTGTAAGATGTTTAGTTTGTAAAGATTTTATTATAAGTTAATTATGTATATTGTTTTATTCAGATTAAATAAGTCAGTATATTAACACATTTAATTTACAGATCCACCGGATGTCAAACCAGAATATGCTATCGTGTTTTCGGCGGAAGGACGAGAAACTGAAATCGTGTGCATAATTCACGCTGAGCCCGATGCCGAGGTAAGTGATCAAGCTTAGTATTCAATTAACATTATATTTTTAGTATTAACTCAGAACTCCAAGATCACATAATAGATGCAAGTATTGGCGCTGGTGGTTTTACGATGGTACTACTATCTTTGACAATCGTTTAAAACGGCTTAATGTGTTATTTACCGTTGCTTTTGTACGAGCAAAATAAAATCTACGATTAAGTCGACATCCTAGTCGCTACAAACTTACTTTAGGAAAAATCGAATTTCACTTGGTTTAACCTGTACTAGATAGATAATAGTTTACCCACTAGAAACACTTATTTCAAACGTTACACTTTGTATTAGTCTTAAATACTACTTTTATCCATTGCTATTCTAATCATCTCTCGATGCAGCTTTTAATGTCTGAATGTAGCATAATGTAAATAATGGAGGAAAAAATAATCGTTTTTACCTAAGAAGAAAACTGGAGATTGATAACTTATATTACTAACGGCTAACAACTAACCTATTAGATGTCCTAATCCAAGTTTAAACATTGAGTTTAAAATCAATTCTATAAAACATCCGGCCGTTTACGCAACAAATAATAATATGTTTCATCTCATACACAGTTATGCGCTGAAGCCAGAGTACAAAGTAGGTAAGGTCTTAACGACCGAAGACCCATTGCGTATCTCTACTGTTCCTACATTGTACATTGGTAAAATTTATCTATAAATACAAGTGTTTTTAATTAGGAAAACTAACAATAAATTGTTTGGTTGTTAAGGTCGATTTTTTGTATGGATTTTGAGGCGTTACATGTGATTTTTGTATCCAGTCCTAAATGATATTATCCAATTTGATCACGCAGTATTGTATTTCCAGAATTCTACTGGAAAATGTTTTAGATGACTTGAATAGCTCGTAGCGTTTTTTTTTTATATTTTAATAATATTATTTTACTTTGGGTGCACTTATTGCGGTACACCGTTTAACATGATAAAGGTTGTTATACTTTTTTTTATGAGCTGTTATTAAATTCTATGAAAACTCAAAAGTCGATCGTCGCATATCGGACGTTAGGCGTTATGAACGCCTGTGCTATCAACCCTTTTTGTGTATTATTTTTTCGTGTTCGAGCATTTTGGTAAACGAATAACATGTCATAACGCGTATTTTGCAAACATAGTTAGGTATAGGACATAGAAATTTGTTATTCCATCTGGGTGCGTACTGTGAAGTATTGATGAGATGTGAGAACAATCGCAGTGATATGTATTTCTGGAGTGGAAAAAAAAACCAAATAACGTCATTGAAATGATATTATTATACAGTGAACGCAAGGCGAAATACATTTTCGGTAATTCAATCCGCATGAACCCCATTGATACAATACCATTGTTGGAATTCGACTAGACGACCTTTGATTTATGCGTAAAAAAATGTCGTCCGTATTGCACAGTATACCCTTTTCTTATTTCGTGTAAAATGTCCCATCGAAACACAAGACACGTTAGTACACTAGTGGATATACATACAACAGCGAGAGGCAAATTATGCACATAAATATATGGAAATTCAGACGCTCATTGTTTTGCACAATATCTGTCGGAAAAAATAAAAGTTTTTCTTCCGACATTTGAGTTTTTCCTACAAAGACAATACCGCAAAGGTAGTCGAATACGATTTTCGGTACACCAGAAACTAAATAGGGCGCGATAGTAGTTCAAATAACAATATTATAATGCAACTTATAATCTTTAACCGTTTGATCCACGTTTTATCCTTGAGATATAAACCGGAATATACTTACCCTATAACGATTAAAATATTTCTAAAAGATAAAAGACTAGCGGCATTTTGCAAGAAATCACCTTTGGGTTATAGAAAGTCTAATTAGCCTTTACAGTAATGTAAAATACAAGTAAATTTTATAAAGAAAAGTAGGTTAAAATGAAGAGTAAACTAAAATCTTAATGTACGTCCTCTATCATTTATAACAAGTCAACTAAAAGCTGGATCGTTTGTTCTTAAAATAAAGCTTATAAGTAATAATCATTCTAAGACATTATAAAAATATTTTTACTTACATTGAACTATTCAGTACTGACATTTAAAATTAATTTAGTTAAAACTTCAGTTAATAATTTCAGTTAGCCAACTGTATTTAACATAAATACATTGCTTTTCTAATTTCTAGCCCGAATACAATTACTATTCATTGATTAGGCCATTACACAATTGTTTAAGTGTTGTATACAAAGACTTTAGAAAAATATGAGAGTACTGAAAATACAAAAAATTTCTAAATCATTTCCTAAGTAACTTTTTAAAAATACATTTATTTTTGTCAACCAAACTAAAGGGTTGTAATAATATTTCAATCTAACTAGTTCACACCGTTATGTTATAATATGTTTTCAAAATGATAGTATACCTATAACCTAATTATCAAATGTAATGCTATTTTATTAATCTCATGTTCTCATTACTGAAAAAAACTAGAAAACTACATATTTTATAAAATTATAATTTATTAATTTGGAATTGTATTTAATGATCAACAAATGGTATTTTATGTATAGTCTTTCTAACGTTACATTAACTGTAGCACTGAGCCAGAACATGCTTATTTTTCACATCCACAGTTAAACTAGTATTATTACATAATATATATATTTTTATTAAAATATACTATACAAAAGAGAAAATTCACAATCTGTATTCTGTATACTAAAAAATACAACTAGTAATATAATTTGACTACTATAAACAGGTGTCCTAACACTAGGTACTAAAACCAGGGAATGTAATCCATGTTATTTTGTTTTGCTCTTGACATTTGAGACTATAGTAACGAAAAAACATGAGTTAACTACATTCAACAATTGAGGCGTCCAAATGGAAAAATGTTGCTTAATTAACTTTTGTTGAAAAGCTACGAAATAAATTATATAAAAATAAAGTTGTTATAAATCTCAACACGTTCTTTTTATTTTATTTAGTGAACGAAATCGACCTAGTTGTATTTTCTTATACTTATATACTATTTCGTTTAGCTTCTGGCCTTTTAATTTTTTTGAAACAATCACAACAAATTTGTAGTAACTGAAGTTCTTAACGCTTGTCTTATATTTTATTACTAAATAAACCTCGATCGACACTTTAAACCATTCATTCAATAGCTTAATCGATTTGCCAGCTTGCTATTTTTCATTTGTTTTTTTTCGCCACCAACTCTCAGACTTAAGTAAATAATAAATAGCTGATATTTTCAAATGGAAAGCGCTAGTAGGAAAACATGTTGAGCGCATGGTTAACCTCTGTATCATTTATCCCTATACAGAAACTAAATCTCTTTCGGCGTTTTAGGGTCGCATAGTGGTTATTTAGTGTCCCCCGGGGTAACAAGGTCTATTAGTTAACCGTTCTCACTACCATTACCCTGTCTGTACCATTGGTAGTTCCCGGTCGGTGATCCGGAGCATTTCTTTAAAAAGAATGTACACATTATATACACAAGAATGCATATAAAAAACGCAACCAAGTTATCTACTACGCCAACAATTTAATGACGTGCACGCTAATTTTATAATGTTCATAAAGTATTCCATAGGAGTTTTATTTATAATTTAGTCTCGTGGTATTTACTTTATATACGATCAATATAGATTATAATAATTATCAATCTACTACAAATATATGTGTAGATTTTTTGAAATTTCAATACCTGTATACATTTTCGTGGTCTTAGGTGAAACAAAATATGTCGTATCGTCAATGATTGATCAATAATTTATGATCTAAACAAAAATCATACAATTTTTAATTAATTTACGCGTTTATCAGTTTAAAATATTGTGACAATGCAAAATTTAGGCCGACCGACTGTTATAGCACGTGCAAGGTGCTCGTTATTGTATAAAGAGGATTTTCATAAGAATCGACACTCGAAAGTCGAGGAGATGAGGGAACACGTAGGCGATAGACCTACAAGTACACAGCGGCTATGGTGTTGCATTACAGCCGGCCATTAATTTGCTATTTATGGGCCGTGGATATCTGACGGTACACGATAGCGGACCCGTGGAAAAAGAAGCAAAACTCGGTGTTATTTCCACAGTGAGTATAATAAATTAACCGAGTCATTAATTTCACCTTGGTCTTAGAGTTTCTTCAAAAAAGTTTGCCTACGGCCGACGACGGCATGTTTGGCAAGCAGTAGCCTCGTTTTCTTACTTTATCATCTACGGTAACGTATAGGAACGGTATAGCGTCAGATCTCCTTCGTTTAAGTTTATTATTTAAATTTAATTCTAAGATAAAAAATATTCCCGGTATGCAAAACACATATTTACAAGTGTTGTATAGTACCCGATGAGAGCTCTTTACAATTATTTTATACGTTTATTAGGTACTTGTCAAAAATCATTGTGATGCCACCCATGTGTGACAAGTGACAACCCATTAACACTTTTAAACATCGAATAAGATAGCGTGCCTACCTTTAAGTATAAACATCAGACTGTGTTACATATCTTTCAGAGAAAAGGATATATTTAAAATTCTTAGATAATCGAACCCGTAGAAAATGTGTACTAATATGAAAATAAAGTAGTAAACGATATTATATTAGTGAAATTTATGTAATCAATTGAAACTCTTGTTGGCTAACATAATGGCTTTGGTCAAAAAGTATCATGTAAAAGCACATTGGTTTTGAAAAATTATATAATGGTCTAAGGTCAATACCATCTTAGTTCTCGGATTTGCTTAAGTTTGACTGCATACAATTTTCGTCATAAAGAAGATGTTAGCATGGATCATACTTTAGCGTTGGCCTCCCAGCTCGAAAACGACACAAATATTATTCAGGAGCCAGCAGGCTAAAGCATGTTCCATGTTTTATAATTTTAGCCGTTAGGCTTTAAGTAGACAGTAATTTTTTTTATAATATTTTAGTTAAAGAACTATTTTATTTCCATATAATAATCCAAAAAAACATTTTAGTGGAAAATATTTAGTAATCTTTGTTAATTG